TTTAACCCAGTCTGGTAACCCTCACATGAATGCACATGCCAGGCCATGGTCACTCATTCTGTCAAACAGGGCGTAAAATTTCCATAAATCTGCCAGATAGACATCTACTGATTCTCTGGGATGGAGCCAATGCTCAGCAAATTGTTCATAAGCCAAAAAACCATCTGTAGCAAAAGCTGTGTACATTGCAGATTTTATCTGGCTGAAATCCTCTTTTTCTTCCTCTCTCAGTTGCTGGTAGACAGCAAACACACCACCCATTATCCTTAAAAGGGCCTATGTGTTTTGGATGTTTTACCTGGCACATCTTACAGACCAACTCAGCCTCTTCTCAATTTTCATCACTTTTCTCAGCTGACAAAATCTCTCTATGAAAGTATTACCATGTTCACAAACATACTGACTATTCACACTTGCATGGTTGATCTCACAAAAAAATTTGCATATGCCCAACCACTCTCACCAATTCTGAGACCATGTCTTTCTTAAATTAAGGTGCCAGGGTGGCCATATTTCTTTATCCTTTCCTTCACTCATTTTGCACACTAGGCTTATACATGCTCACTTTGCCAGATGAGGTAAGTCATCTTCTCTTCCACACTGCCATCATTTGCCTTCAAGAAACTTTCCTAGAACCTAATGATAAAATAAAAATATTATACTCAATATAACTATATACATGACACTCAACAGAGGGCATTTGGGGGTGTATCAATCCTAATCAGAAATGACATCCCCCCTCCACCAAAATAAAATACTTCTAGAAACCAATCTCCAAACAGTTGCTGCAAAAACTACCCTACATAGAATTGTTAACATCTGCTCTATTTACATCTCACTGCATGATCCCATAAAAGAGTCTGATCTAAATAAACTAATAGAACAACTACCAAAACCGTTCATATTATTAGATGACTTTAACAGTCACAGTGTTATATGGGGATCCAAGAACTTATACAAAAAGGAAAAAACCTGGAAAATGTAATTAACGACGACAACTTATGTTTACTAAATGATAAGTCTAATACATATCTATATCCTGCATCAGGTACATACTCAGCTATTGACCTATCCACTGTATGACCACCCCCTCTATTCTTATGGATTACAATTGACAAGTTCTTGACAATTCATATGGCAGTGATCATTGCCTAATTATACTGAAGAGTTCAGAACCAATTGAAAACCATCTCCCTCAATGGAAACTAAACAAAGCAGATAAAAACCAATGCTATCAAAACAAAGATGGCAAAAAAATCTATTGAAACATTAATAGCAATTGCAAGAAAATATATACCAGAAAGCAGTGAATTAAATAAACATCAGACCATGGTTCAACAAAGATTGCAAATGGCAATAAGATTATGTAGACCAGCATTACGAAAATTTAATACTCAAAACCTACAACCTGTAATTTAAATCTATCCAAACAAAAAGAGCAATAGTACATAGAGCCATCAAAGAAGTTAAACAAAAATTATGGTGAGATTACATAAATAAAATAAACTCCAATATGAAACCAAAAAATATGGAATATGATAAGGAAAATCACTGGCAAAAATCTATCACCTCCTCTAAATCACCTTTCCCAAAATAACATAAAAATAACAAGCAAAAAGGAGATAGCAAATCTACTTATTGAAACCTTTAAAAAAAATTTCCTCCAGTAAAACTGCAAACAGCAATTCCATAAAGTTAGACATGATGCAAAAAAAATAAAAAATAAGCTGAACTTTAACTAAAACAACAAAGAAGATTACAACCATCCCTTTTGCTCTAAACAAACTTATAGATGCCATAAGTGAATCATATAGTACAGCTACTGGGCCAGATGAAATTCATTATGAATTTCTTAAACAACTTCCTCCAAAATCCTTAAAATATGTGTTAAACATTTTTAATAAGATATGGTTTAAGGGAAAACTACTGAATAGCTGGAAACAAGCTACTGTAAGCCCTTTACGAAAACCATATAAAGACAAATCAGAACCCCAAAACTTCTAATGTATAACATTAACAAGTTGCATATGCAATACTCTAGAAAGAATAGTAAATAAAAGCCTGAACTGGTACCTTGAAATTAATGGTTTAATTACCAATCTCCAGAGTGGATTTCACAATAAAAGAGGCACCATAGAAAACATGGTCTGCCTTGAAACTTTCATCAGAGAGGCCTTTATTAAAAAAAGAACATGCAATAGCTATTTTCTTTGATCTAGAAAATGCCTATGAGACATGGAGACATGGAATATTGAAAGACTTATACAATCTTGGATTAAAGGGGAGATTACCCAATTTGATAAATAACTTTATTAGATACAAGTTTCAAAGTTTGGGTAGGATCAACACTGTCAAACACAAAATCCAAGAAGGAGTTTCACAAGGTTGCATCCTGTCCATCATTCTTTTTAATCTAAAAATTAACAACATTGTTAATTGCTTGAATCAAGGAGTTGACGGCTCATTATACATAGACAACCTTTTGGTCTACTACAGATCAAAAAATATGCACACTGTAGAATGACAACTGCAAGTGTGCCTGTATGAATTAAACCAATAGACTATTGAAAACAGTTTGAAATTCTCCCCAACCAAAACGAAATGTATCCATTTCTGCAATCTGAAAGAAATACACAATGATCCAACTTGAAAGAACTGGAATTGAAATGACTGACCAACATAAATTTCTGGGAATCTTTTTTGATAAAAAAAATTACTTTCATCCTTCACTTAAAATACATAAAACAAATACTTCAAAGCATTACAATTACTATGGGTTATGGCTAACACCAACTGGGAAGCAGATCACTCCTAAAATTATATAAAACTCTAATAATAAATTGAACTACGGATCTTTCATATATGGGTTGACCTGGAAATCTTATTTAAAAGCCCTTGACCCCATCCACCATGGAGAATTAAGACTGGCTCTTGGTGCCTTCAAAACATCACCCATAGAAAGTTTATACGCTGAAGCCCATGAGGCACTGTTAAAATTGAGACAAGAAAAACTGGCACTAAAATATTATCTAAAACTCAAATCCTGTCCAACTACTCTGCCTACCATTGTACCTTTAACCCTAAATACAAAAACCTATTTGATAAAAAAGAAAATGCTATCAAACCTTTTGGCGTTTGCATGAAAAATCTCATCAGTGAAACACAAATAAATCCAACCCCATTTCTTAACACCAGCAACTTAAAAAAAAAACACCTTGGTTAATGATTCTGCTAAATCTTACTAAATATCCTAAAATTAATTCTGACTTATCTGATTATATGGAAGAAATCTGTAATGTTCTACAAGCTCACCCAAATCATAAGCATATATACACTGATGGCTCTAAAATCTTGGATGCTCTACTCTTCTTAACGATATAACAATGCAGAAAAGGATTGCCTGACAAAGCCTCAATCTTCAATGCAGAAGCCTCAGCCATAAACTTGTCTTTAGATATTATAGAATCCAATGGGTCAGATAGATTCATCTTCTCAGATTCACTATCTATACTCACAGCTCTGAAGAATAAAAACCTGGGGAACCCCTTAATAAAAAATAGGATTGACTCTATTTATAAGGAAAAACATGCTCTAATAATCCTATGTTGGATACAAAACCATATTGGAATAAAAGGAAATGGAAAAGCTGACAAAATGACAAAGAAATTGCTCAAATCTCTCAAATGTAAAGGTGCCACACAATAACTTCCAACCCACCATAAACAAGACCATTAAAGAAAAATGGCAGCAATTATGGAACAACTGTGTAAACAATAAACTTCTCAACATCCAACCAATCATCAGTAAAAGACAGTCAAGTTACAGAAAGATAAGAGAGGAGGTAGTTCTAGCTATACTCTGTATAGGACACACATACATAACCAACCAACATCTAAAAAATGAGGAACTGCCTATGTGTGTCCCTTGACAGGAATCATATAGCATTAAACACATCTGACTAAATTGCTGTAACTTCCAGCAAACATGAAACAAACTCTACAAATTGTATAACTTAAAGGATCTATTTGAAAATACCAATCCAAGTAACACCATAAATTTCATTAAAGAAATTGGGCTCTACAGAAAAATATATATAAAAAAAGTTTTATATAATTTTAGGAGTGATATACAATCTACTTCCCAGTTGGTGTTAGCCATAACCTGTAGTAATTGTAATACTTTGAAGCATTTGTTTTGTGTATTTTACGTGGGGTGAAAGCAATTTTTTTATTAAAAAAGATTCCCAGAAATTTATGTTGGTCAGTCATTAGGGCACACTGGGCTCTGTAGTTTTGTGTGATAACCAGTGCAAAAGGAGGCCATCTCACTCTGAATTCAAAACCAGTTGGGTCTGTAAAACCTACTTGCTATGGAAACTACAATGGCAACACAGAATCTACATGGTTAAGAAGATACAGATTATAAGATATTTGCAGAATAATAGTGATAGATAAAATATTTAGTGAAATGAGGGTACATTTTTTAAATGGATGATGGTTGTTAGTGGTCACCAGTTTCTAGTAAAATTTGTACTACTTGTTGCAACTAATAAGGATGAACACTTTCAAAGTAAATGAATTCAACATTTACAGGAATGAATTTCAATATGTTGAGGAACTTTATGTATATATTTTTAAATAAAGAAATTCATAGATAAATAATAGAAAGAGAAGTATGTACAGATAGGTAAAAAATGAATGAAAACATTTCTGTACTTATCTGTTGTGTGTGTGTGTGTGTGTGTGCGTGTCAGAGAGAGAGAGATGGCCATGTGATTTGTTTTAAATTAAATAGTCAGTTTGCCAAGATTAAGAAGTTTTCCTGAATGGATAGGAAGAGTGTTGTCTCTACATTGTGGAGTGAAAGAGAAAGTGAGTCCTTCCTTTGATAGTGCTGAATAGAACATCATCTAGCAGATGTACTGACAAACCGGTAGGAGTAATTCCTATACATGCATCATTTTAGTGATTGTAAAATTTTAAAAAAATTATTATTTCCAGGATCAGAAAGGGAATCAACTTTACTTGGGCATCACACATCAAGGTATCATGACATTCCATGGAAACAGGCGTACACACTTGTTTGTATGGTAAGTTACAATTTTTCATGGCTATTCTTATTACAATTTTATAAAAGAACATTTATGTCTAAAAACGTTTTTGTTGCTGGTCAATTTAATACCAAATACTTTATTAAATTTACTTTTAATATGTATAAAATGTATACTTCTTTTTGTGGTATACAATCAGTCACAAGTAAATAATTTCTCAAAAATAATTAAAACAATTTCCAAGTATCATTCTTGTCATTAATGAAAAAAATTAAAAGAAATACTCCTTTCTCAATCCAAAAATATTCATGTAAGACCACAAACTTTATAAAAAAAATAGAAGATAAGTTAACTCATAACCTTTAAAAATTAATTTAATAAACAAAATAAATGAAATAAAAATACATGAAAATAATTACATAAAAACAAATCAATAGCAACAACATCAATTCACTTTTGTTTAATATGCTGAAAAATGATGTCATTTAGTATCCTCCATTGTTTACCTTTCTTTCAGGCAATAAATTTTTATAATATTTTGAAGCATTTCTCTAATTCAGAATTTGAAAACTTAACATTATTTTTCTCCACGTTATTTCTATGTATGCAGGTTAATAAAAAAATTCTAGGAAAAGTTCTACTCTTGTCATTACTTTCATTAATATTGCCTTTACAGATATTTTATTTATATCTGAACAGCTATATATATATATATATATATATATATATATATATATATGTGTGTGTGTGTCTTGAACACTAAAAAATATTAAAAAATTAAAATTTTCAGACACACTGGGTTGTATATTAATATTTTTTGTTTTATTATTTCAATTAGGTTCCTCGACTAGTTTTGGCCAGCATGGCCATTATCAGGAGAAAAAATCCCTGCTTGTTAGTAGCAGTGAACTACACAAGTGAATGACTGTTTTTGTAGTTTTAATTTGTAATTTAATCAAGTTTTAATGTAGTTTTATTTCCTTACTAACGTTTTTCTTGTATTTATCAAGATTTGGATTGGCTAATAATTGCATAGTAACGCAAGTTATATCTTTGTTGTACAGGCTAAAAAATTTTTTGATATTGATTGAGGTAAATGGCTGATGATCAAGAGATATGATGATCAGCAAGATAGGTACTACAATGCATAAGAATGGGAAAACATTGAATACAATTCATATCTTGTGTATTTCTTTAAGTTTTAAATGCAGACTGTATACAGATTTGTAAAAACAAACAAAAACATAGAAATGGTATTACTTTTTTAATCACAGAATATAACAAATGAACTGACTAAATAGCAAGCACTAGTGAGAAAATTCCAGGAATGTGTTCAATGCAAGAAAGATATAGTCTGCAAAAGTTATTGGTTTAACACAAGGATGCAGCAGGAAGGAAAAACTTTCCTGTTTCTCACAGACATACAAAGACAAGAAGGAAGATGTGAGTATGAGCATTTAAAAGACAGTATAATACATGATTGTGTCATTATGGGAACCCTGAGTGACAAGAATACTAATGAACTTAGGCAACCAAAAGTAAGAAATGTCTGCAAAAATGACAAAATAGCTACAAGTCATGCCCTAGAAGTTTCCAACACACTTTCAGTAAACATGATACAATCCTATCAGTTAACATGAAAATATAGCTGAACACAAATATAAACAAAAGAAGAAAAGACAAACTGAAAACAGTCCAACAAATGTGGCAGATATAGATAGAGCTTGCCTGGCAAAAGGACAGACATGTCAGAAGTGCTTAAAAGTTGGACATTTTAAAAATGTGCTGAACAAAGAAAACTGTATACTGTGTAAACGAATCTGCTAGAAGTGAAGATGACACGCTGAATCACAGTGGACAATGCCACTAAAACTTGACACAGGGAATGACATCAACATCCTAATGCTGAATTATTTAAACAAAATGAAAACCAAGCAAAAATAAGACTGATGTCATATATACAGGAGACATAGTTCCAGTAGTTGGTAAGGTGGAGATAATAATTCAAAGAAAACTTGTCCCTTAAAATTCCTTTTATTATAACACCAAAGAATGGATAGCCCATATTATGAAAATACACTAAAATGAAAAGAGTTAATATTATCAATAACTCTGAAGAAAATGAAGAACCAAAGGAAGACAGAAAAATAGATTATATTGTCCAGAATTGTAACATCCAAAAATAATGTAGAGATATGCAACCAAAAGAGCAACTCTTAAGCCAGGAAGTAGCCATGCAATTCTGGCAGAAGGTAGCAGCAGATCTGTGCCATCACAACAATAGAGACTGTCTCATTGTTGTGGGTGCATACTCCAATTACCCAGATTTATACCAACTACTGTTACAGAACGATGGAGCTGTGATTAAAGCTATGCAACACAGCTTTAGCAGATTTGGAGTTCCACAAGAAGTATTCATGGACAATGGCCCATGCTTCATGAATACCAACAATTTATAACAAATTGGGACTTCAAATCACACCATTCCCACATTACCCATAAGTGAGTAGCCTTGCTGAAAAAACAGTGTAAACCATGAAAACCATTCTCTAGAAATGCAGGGAGCCATCACTTGGACTCTTAATCTATTGTAGCATGCCAGGCAAATACAGATTGTTACCCACAGAAATGATGATGTGGAGAAAGCTAAGAAGCAACCTACCCACAATAAATAAACCAATAAAGAGTGTCTAGTGGAAGTCAAAGGTCCAAGTAAGGGCCAGAAAAAAATATTACTTTGACCAACAGGGAGTTCAGGAGTTAAAAAAAAAAATTAAACTCAGGAGATGCAGTTCATAACTGAAACTCTGCATAACAGATGGAATGATCAGGCATAGTACAAGCAGAAGTTGCATCCAAATCATCCACCGTTCTCTCAAACAGGAGCCATCTTTCAACGGAACAGAAAAGACTTATTGAAAGTAAACAAACTACAAATATCTGTACTTTCTTCTTGATTGTGAAGATGTAGCATGTATGCAGAAATTAGTATCCAGAGTTATGCCCCTTGATATGGGACTTTTCCTGAATGAGATTGTGATGTGGTGTGAAATAAAAAAAAAAAAAAAAATACATGAGCTCACTGCAAGATACGAACACTATACACACTTTTGAATGTGTGAATTTGGGATATTACAGAGGTGGCCTTTACAATTTTATCAGTTTCATATATGTAACAAAATGGAAGGTGTAAACATTCATATAGCTAGGGATACGGGGCATGTCAAAATGATAAGTATTATTCAATATTATTGGATTATACTACTAAAAACTGGGTTACTTCCAGTTTCAAATTTTCAACTTGCCTTGTTCTGATTATTTCTCGAACTTTTTTTTTTAATTTTTTATTTTTTTACCTCATTTTATTTAGCCTTGTGATTCCATGAGGCCTATTATGTGTCACAATCTATTTATTAAATTTTATCAAAATTAGTTCAGTTTTTGAAATGAAAGGTACATTAAGATTATCATTGCTTGTTATTATGGAGTACATAAAACCAATTTGAAATTTCTCATTAAATATATAGTTATCATATTCTTTTTACCATTGTTGGAATTATTTCATAGACATTGTATAAACTAGTTTGTACAATATACTGACATGAATGAATTTATTTTGTAGGACTCAAATAAAGAGGATTGTTTATGAGGGGAAGATGTTCATTGTACATGTCCACACAGCTGAGGTGAGTTTTGCATTGTCTTTGATAGCCAATCTTATACTTTACAATTGAATGTGACAAATATTACTCATGTGCTACCAATAAAACATGAGCTGTAGAATTAGATAAACGATATTGGTCAACATGTGAATTTCAGTGCATTACAGAAATGGCTATTTCTATTTGGCTGAAAATAAAATCATGACAAAATGAATATTAACAGTGAAAAATGGGTTATGTAGAAAGAATGGAAGATTAAGTACTCCTTTTTTGACACAGGCTGTAAAGGAGCAAGTACTGCTGAGAGCATCAAGACAGAAAACTGTAGAGAATTGTGATTGGCCACATTCTGAAGGGAGATGACATAGAGTATGTATTCACAAAACAAAAGAAATGCTAATTAAAATGTTTTTTGTCTAAAAAATTATTTTAGATTTAGGCAAAACATGGTGTCATTGCCATGAGGATAAAAATATATAGTTGAATAAAAGATAGCTACTGAGAAATTCAAGGTTTGAACTTTATTATGCCATAATGAATAACCCCATAATATGCTATTCTTTGTGGTATATTAAAGTTGAAGCCTTTAATTTGTCAGCCATATCTTTTATTCGAGTACATATTTCTGCCATTGTGTTAATAGTATCATAGCATCATATATTCTGCCCAAATATAATTTTATTGACTATAAAAATGTTTAAATTGGCCTTTGTTCTATGAGTGTGTACTGTGTCATGTCTCTTCAGAATATAGACGAACTTGATTCTCCATAGCTTCCTGTCTTTTGTTGCTCTCAGTGATAATTGCTCTTTTGTGACATTTCTCTTTATAACACTTATTTTTACATTCATTTTCTCAAGCAGATTCCTTGTTGATTTTTCTGCTTCTTTGGCCTTTGATGTACCCTGTGAGTGTTAAATTCTTTGAGCCTTCTTTCCTCATTATATCCCTAAAAGTTCTGTCATTTTCTGATTATCAATAATTTTTTTGTAATTCTCCCATTCTCCTTAAATTTTCTTCACTTGTCACACATTATGTCTATGATATTCTAAATATTCATCAGTAGAACCACATTTTGATTACTACAAATCGTTTCTTCATTCATGATGAAATTGTTCAGCATTCACTGTCATATATGACAGTGAATAAAGGGTAGAAATTATATTAGAGTTCGATACTCTTTTTTTTCTCTTTTTAAATTTCTAATATCTTAGTATCTTACCCAGTTTATAGACAGTATCTTACACTATTTAAATGTACATATTTCACAGCAGTTGTATTTTAATATCTCCAATATGTAACTTACATTTTCAGCTGTCCTTTTTGCTTACAACTATGTATTCCGTCCTTTTTTATCATTAATATTTAATCATTTCTTCATCCTTTCATTGACTGTCTTGCCTAAGAGTTTATTCAATTTTCCTTTTGAATTGCATATTCAGATGTTAGGAAAGCTTGATTTACATAAAAACAATATACAAATAATCCATAACTTGTCTTGGGAATAAACAGCTTCTATGTAAATATAAAACAAATACACAATAAATGAGTGGAAGAATGTGTATTTTTTTTTCACTGTATTTAAAGTGTACAGCGAGATGACTTTTTTAGAGAATTAAGACATGTCAGGATTTATTATTGTTGGAGTAATATTAACGCAGGTTCTTATTAACTTTGTGGCTCATCAAACTGATTGTTTGGAGTTTGCATTCATTTACAACCTGGTTTCTTTGGCAATGTTATAAAAATTGATCTACTTAGAACTTCCAGTTCATTGCTGCTGACATATATTTTATTTATCACTTTGGTTTCCTTATCAATCCCAAAATTATCTAAGTTTGTTGACATCTCTATGACACTCATCTGGTCTTGCTGTTTTTTATCATTTCGGCCATTGTTGTCTTTTCTTCTGATTTTAGTATATATTACAAGCTTCACTCCTTTGTTGTCATGGAAGAATTCTCTTATCTACTCATTTTACTTTTCCTTTTTTATGATACTTCCATCTTTAGAAGACTATGGTTTCGCTGTAATTTCTTTTATTTCTGAACTTGGTGACAATTTTGCTACAAGTATATAAAGAATTTTTTTTTTTTTTATCAGGAAACTTTCAAACTAATAATGAAATTAATTGGTTACATGTCTAGTATATGGGTTGCATAATTAATTTATACCATTTAAGATTTTTAAAATGTGCATAAATATTTATCTTGTTGATTAAATGTTGTTTCAAATAATATGCTTACTGCTAGGTAACAAGTAAACAGTCAGTGAAATACTCACCCCATTTATCCATTTCTTTTTGTCAACTTCTTTTGAGATTTTCACTTGGAAATTCATTTTTTTTGATCATGTAAGATTATATTTGGAGACTACAATCACTATAGATACCATTAGCTGTACAACTTGTTAAAAAAATTAATTTAACAAAAACAAACTTTTGCAACAACTTTTTCATGTACATTGTTCATAAGTTGAAATTTTGTCATAATTTGACTGTGCTAAAAGCAGCACTTCTTTATATCAACAGAGCTTTAATGAAATATGTTCAAATATCTTCATTTTAAATGATCTACACTTTGCTGCCAAAGTATTTTGCTAAATTTGTATTTTTTATATCTTGTGTTGAAGGATATTGCATACATGAAGTTAATAAATGATAGTGCTGAATTGTCTTTGTGTGTGTGAGTGTATATATATATATATATATATATATATATATATATATAGGCAACAGTTACTCATTCATGCAAGTTTGGTTAAAGGCCAGGAAAAACTCTTTGTATAAGTTTTTTTTTTTTTTAATTGATCATTTCTTCAATTCTGACAATTTATTTTTTAAATTGTAGACTGTAGTTGAATATGATTTGTCCAATATATTCAGAATTTGTTTTAATTGTATGATAAGAATGTATATAGAGGGCTTAGTTTTGAATTTATTTGATGTTATTCTACTTAATATTTTTCAAATATTGCATCCTGCATCAGCTTGTGATGCATCTTGTCTCTTTTAATTGTTAGATATTTATAATGTTTATTCTAAAACTGAATGACATTTTATTAATGTTACACACATATATTCACACACACTTGTAATAAAGAATAAGCTAAAAAGCTTAAAATATAAAATAAATCAAGTGTTCAATGTCACTAGACTGAGACATAATAACAATAATAAAATATATATTACCAAAATATGTTGTGTATCAACTCACTACAACTCTTGAGTTGATGCAATCTCTATGCAGTGTGAATCTCAAAAAATAATTTAGTGTATTCTACCTTAAATAGTTCAGGGTTGGATGGTTTCAACTATCCTTGGTGTACATTCTTTATTAAATATTTGTTACTGTGTCTATATAATGCCATTAATTAATTTCACTTGTTCAATAAATTCCTGCCCATTCTCTGCAAAATAAAGTTTTTTGGTCAAGTATAAATTACATCTTTTACCACTCCCATTATAGTCCTTGACCATAACTAATACTTTTCTCATAATTCTTGGTGCCTCTTTTCTGTAATCAATGATATGCCAGAAAAAAAAATACAAAAGGGCAGTACTATCCTTGTACTTTTTATTGGCCACTCATTTTGTGATTGCAGAATATCTTCAACTCACCAGCTCCTATGTAATACTTCACTTTGCCACCATTTATTGCCTTTGCTTCATATACAATATCTTTCAACAAACAAGCCCCATTTAATGGACACTCCTTGTATACAGTTACATTTACAGTCCTAGTTTTCTATTATGATTTACGATTAACTTTTCCATACTACTGGTGTAACTGAAGCCAACCTTTTAAATTGTTTTTATTAAATAATCTCTTCAACAGAGGTGAATTTGTAAAATGTTTATCAATTAATTTCAAGAACATTTTCATTGTGATTTTGATCACATGAATAATTTTATATTTTCTTTTTTTTTTCTTCTTTTCTTTGTAAGAAAATAAAAGCAACAAAAAAATTTAAATTATTTGGTTCAATAAAGGATGTATATATGGTGTAGTTGAAGCCATCTACCTCCAAACTATTTAAGGTAGGATATGATGAATAATTTTTTTAGATTCACACTACCTGAAGATTGCACCAAGTATGAAGATCAGTTGTGGTCAGTTGATGCACAACACATTTTGGTAATATATATTTAAGCTGCAATCTTGAGGCCTGAAGAAAATCTTTATTTATGAAAAGATTTCAATTTTTCTTTGTTTGTTCTTTTAAGTAAATGGAGGACAACACTTTTTTGTCCTACATTTTTTAAATTAGAACAAATATTAACCATTTAATTATCATAATTCTCTGCATATCTATGTTCTTCTGTTTTTTTGAGGTTTTTTTTTTCAATCTGTGCTGTTTTCTTTCCATTTAGCCACTCTTCCTTTGCTTAATTTCACTTATATACTTTTATATACTCAAAACCATTTCTTGGGATTATCTGCTGCCTGTACCAATATATCTCCTATCATTACAAAGTCTGTCTCCAAACAAACAATGAACCAACTAATAAGAAAGTTAAGAAAGCTATTCATAAACTATGGAATAATAGAGCATCACTTGACATTGAGGCCAAATTTTTGAAAATAGCTTACTCCAAGTTCATTAACAAGTTTCTCAATCTCATGAAGGAAGTCTGGAATCAGAAATGTATGCCAAGAAGTGGGATTTATCATGAATTAACTATAGAAATAAAAAGGTAGCCCTAAAAACCCTCACACATGCTGAGGTATCTCAGTTGGATCCATTATGATAAAAGTAACAATGAACATTATATTAACTAGGATTTTACTGTTTTATGAAAGTCAACTCCTTGCAACCAAGTTTGATTTTCATGCTGGCAAAGAGTGTAATGATATACATATAATTAAAATTTTCTGGGTGTTTCCATACCGCTCCAATAGAAAATTGTATACCTGCTATGTTGACCTCATTGCAGTATATGACCACATCAATAGAGACTTCCTTTTCTCATCCATTCAAAGCTTCCATGCTCCACTGAATGTATTGATCTAATAGAGGAACTG